TTCCCATTTCATCAAACCAAAAACCAACAGTTCTGGCACCTTCCCATTTCATCCCAAACCAAAAACCAACAGTTCTGGCACCTTCCCATTTCATCCCAAACCAAAAACCAACAGTTCTGACAGCTTCCATTTCATCCCAAACCAAAAACCAACATCTCCAGCACCTTCCCGCTGCATCCCAAACCAAACAAACTGTGGAGTTCCAGAACCATTTTCCAGAGCCAAAACCTGCAATTCCAGATGCTCCAGAGCAGAGAGGACACACTGCCAGAGCCAAAATCTGCCATTCCAGAGCCAAAATCTGCAATTCCAGAGGCTCCAAAAGGAAGGCCACACTGCCAGAGCCAAAATCTGAATTCCAGAGCCAAAATCTGCCATTCCAGAGCCAAAATCTGCCACTCCAGAGCCAAAATCTGCAATTCCAGACGCTCCAAAAGGAAGGCCACACTGCCAGAGCCAAAACCTGCAGTTCCAGAGCCAAAACCTGCCATTCCAGAGCCAAAATCTGCCATTCCAGAGCCAAAATCTGCCATTCCAGAGCCAAAACCTGCCATTCCAGAGCTAAAATCTGCCATTCCAGAGGCTCCAAAAGGAAGGACCCACTGCCAGAGTCAAAATCTGCAATTCCAGAGCCAAAATCTTCCACTCCAGAGCCAAAATCTGAATTCCAGAGCCAAAATCTGCCATTCCAGAGGCTCCAAAAGGAAGGCCACACTGCCAGGGGCACACTGGGGAATTCCAGGGCAGGAATTCCTGGCCAAGGGCACAGCCAGCAGGGAGGGGTGGCTCTTACCTTTCTGCAGGGTGCTGGGGAAGGACAAAGTGACTTTTTCATCTTCATTTTGATAGTTGAACCCTGTGGCGTGAACTTCTGCAATGGGAAAAGCAGAACTGGGATCAGAACTGGGATCATGGAAAAGGGTTTGGGCTCAAAACTCTGCAAATTCACCCAAAGCTGCTGAGCTGGACAAATTGGAATTAATTCCGAGTGATTCTGTGTGAGGAAGTACAGGAGCAGGAATTGGTCTTCATGGTGGGAATTCCAGGAGTGAAAATTGGGCTGAAAAACCCCAAATCTGCAGGAAAAATGGGATTTGTGTGTCCTGGGAATGTCGTAGTGGGAATTCCACAGCAGGGAAAGCTTCCAGGAGTGAAAGTTGAGATGAAAAACCCCAAATCTGCAGGAAAAATGGGATTTGTGTGTCCTGGGAATGTTGTGGTGGGAATTCCAGGAGTGAAAGTTGGGCTGAAAAACCCCAAAGCTGCAGGAAAAATGGGATTTGTGAGTCCTGGGAATGTTGTGGTGGGAATTCCAGGAGTGAAAATTGGGCTGAAAAACTCTAAATCTCCAAGAAAAATGGTATTTGTGTGTCCTGGGGATATCATGGTGGGAATTCCAGGAGTGAAACTGTGCTGAAAAACCCCGAATCTCTAGGAAAAATGGTATTTGTGTGTCCTGGGAATGTTGTGGTGGGAATTCCAGGAGTGAAAATTGGGCTGAAAAACCCCAAACCTGCAGGAAAAATGGGATTTGTGAGCCCCAGGAATGGTGAAATACAGCCCCAAACTTCCCCCCTTGCTGCTTAAACATCCCCATCAGTGCAGCAGGATTCATATTAATTATCCCAAACAAGATGCTTAGGATTTATTTACCTAATTTATGGCTTTCTTTGAAAATCCCATTAATCTCCAGGGCAATGGGGGGGCTGTGCTTGGATTGAACCACAGAATAAATGTTGATTTTATTTCAGAAATGCCTTCAGAAGCGGGGCCCTGCTTTGGGGTTCCCGCCCTGCTCAGGGAGAAGATGCCAAAGGCACCCCAAAAATGAGGCAGTTGGGGATTAAATAGCACAGGAACTGTTTGTGGATGGAAAAATCCAAATTGTGAGGCCAGGCTGGGGATCTGAAACTGTCCTGGAGCTTTGGCACAGCCAGGAGGGAGCACCTGGTGCTGCTTCTCCCTTCCTAATTTATCAAATTCTCCAAGGGGATGTGGATCTGTTCTCCTAAAAAAAGAAAAAAAATCTGGAATAACCCCACAGAACCTCACTCTGCACGTTCTGCTCCCTCCAAACTCAACCACTGCTGCAACCTGTAAGAAATTAGCATTTAAGACCTTGAAATTAGCATTTAAGAACTTGAAATTAGCATTTAAGACCTTGAAATTACCATTTAAGACCTTGAAATTACCATTTAAGAACTTGAAATTTAAGAACTTGAAATCTTAGCAATTAAGAACTTGAAACATTGAAGAATTTTAAACTTTTAAGGATAAAGTTCTTAAATTAGCATTTAAGAACTTGAAATTTGGCATCTTCAGCTGCCAAAATCGGCAAGCCTGGACACAGCCAGGCAGGGAACAAAAAGCTGCCACTCAAGCAAAGCCTCGAATGACAAAAGCTGGGCTGAAATGACAATTTTAGTCACAAAAGGACTCGTTTTCCCTGCTCAGGTATCACTGGGAGTGTTTGGTTTCAGCCCCAGGATGCTCCACCCGGGACTAAGGTGTGAAAAAAACAGGAAATTTCACCTTCTGCCCTTTATTTCCATTTTCTCCAGGACAAACTCTGGAATTCCTGGGTGCTTTTCCATTTATTTCCATTTTCTCAGTCACCAACTCTGGAGTTCCTGGGTGCTTTTCCCCTTTATTTCCATTTTCTCAGTCACAAATTCTGGATTTCTTGGGTGCTTCTCCATTTATTTCCATTTTCTCCAGGACAAATTCTGGAATTTCTGGGTGCTTTTTCCCATTATTTCCACTTTCTCCAGGGCAAATTCTGGAATTCCTGGGTGCTTTTCCATTTATTTCCATTTTCTCAGTCACCAACTCTGGA